TCTCTCTCTCTCTCTCTCCCTCTCTCTCTCTCACCTAGTCCCCTCCACCCACCAGGAAGACGGGGGCCCAGATCTGCAAGCTGTCTGGAATCCTCAACCTTGATAATATTAGCATTTCATATGAGGGAAATGCACCTGCTGAGCTGTTGGTGGCATTTCATTGAGTCTGGGTCTCTGGGAGAAGTTTCTAGGTGGTCAGGAACAAATGGATGGGAGGACCAGGAGGGTAAACCCTTTCCCAAGTGAAGCAAACTTTGGGGGATTAGAATGGCTGACTCTCAAATGCATGCGCTTATGTATAGGCACCTTTTGAAAAAAGAAAACAAGGGAAAGGGAAAGCTAGAATAGTCAGAGGAAAAATGACCGAGACAGGCGTTTAAAACACTTTTTACAATAATGGAAATTTACATATTGAAATTGTTTATAAATTTATAAATTACACACTATATTATATTATACATCTATTGTATGACAGCTGATGCTTTTGGAAGATGCTTGGAGAGAACTGTTTGTTCTAGGAATAGCACAATGGGCCATTCCGGTTGATGCTAACACTCTACTGGCTGTATCTGGTAAGAATTGCACAATTTAATGACTTTGTTGTAGAAATTACCATAAAAATACATTACTGAAAAAAGAACAACATGTAAAGAATAACAAATTCCTGCTGAACAATAGCGTATACCTGTCATTTATAAATCTATATTTAAATGCAAATAATGCTGTTTTGTTGTATTCATGACTGCTTGCATTGTTATTTAAATGCAAATTACTGTGTTTGTTATCATCCAAGAGAAGATTTTATATTAACTTTCATACAATATAGCCAGTTTACATGGAATCCGATATCTCAGAGTGACAATTGAATAGATATTGATATGCAGAATTTTGTCAAAAATCAATATTAAATTATGAAAATGCCTTCATATCACAGCACTTATGCCATATTTTTATTCTAGGCATGAATGGTGACAACACAGATTCCCAGAAGCTGAACAAGATCATATCTGAAATACAGGCTTTGCAAGAGGTGGTGGCTCGGTTTAGACAGCTCCGGCTGGATGCCACTGAGTTTGCCTGTCTAAAATGCATCGTCACTTTCAAAGCTGGTAAGCGGGCCCAAACCCCTGTCTCTTCTTCCCCAGCTTTGCCGCCTGACTGACTCGGCCCCCTCCAAGTCCAGGCTTACCGTTGCAAAAAGAAGTGGCCGCTGAGTCCGCTCCAGAGAGGCCGTTTCCCGCCTGCCTTTCCCGGGCTGCCTGTCACAGTTGTCTGGTCTTCATTTCTAGTTCCTACACACAGCGGTTCTGAGCTGAGAAGTTTCCGGAACGCTGCTGCCATTGCCGCTCTTCAAGACGAGGCGCAGCTGACTCTCAACAGCTACATCCATACCAGGTGACTCCTGTTTGCCTTGACCGTGTCCTTCAGGAAGGTGCTTCCATTGTCGCTGTGTGAGCAGCGGGTAATAAGCCAGTTCAAACATTGTCACTAATTCTTCTGTTGCCAGCCGATTAAGTTACTTAGGGTTTATGTCCTCACAAGGCGGGTGAGAGAAGCAAATCAAGTTAGATTATCCAGTAGGTTGCCAGATGCCTTACCGCTGACCTGGTGGAGCAAGTTGGTCCATCAAAAGAGTCGAACACATTTGTATGAATGGACCCAGGTGCGGGAAAGGTAAAAAATGAAGGCCGAGGGCTACAGCTGATATAGTAGAGAGTAGTGAAGTCAGCCTTTAAAAAGGCATGAGCCTTTCTTTGGATGCCAAGCCCAAATAGAAAGACCAGAGAACTTTCTAGAGAGGCCATCTTTACTCCCTTCATAACTGTTGATTGGTATCTGTTGAGTTACTTGGAGTCATAGCACCCACCAGGTTCTGTCTGGCCAAGCAGGGCCCATTGGCAGAAGCTGTTCTTACCTATTTGGAGAAACTCTCAGTCACTGGGGCTTCAGCAGTCCTCCTGGCCCACCAATGAGCAAGTCCTCCAGGGGGTAATTTTTCCATTTTTAGAGGAAAAAGGCAAAACTTTAAAGAGCTATGGAACCTCACTAGGTCTGTGGTGGAGCTGAGGTTAGAATAGAATTGCTATTCTTGTTTATTCTCTAGGTTGGTCTTAAAGGGAAGCCCATGGAAGCCTGTCCCTATCATCCCAATATCACCGCAGACACTGTGCTGGAATAACTAAATCAGATGACTAGAGGTGGTTAATGCCTCCCTTACGTGAGGGGCAGAGAACCCCTGAGTCAACCGTATCCATTTGGAGTAATATCACTTCTGCTAGGATCTCCTTATTTTTATTACAAATCCTCTTTTGAATACTACTGAATAAAACTGTGCCCTGTCCATGGAATATCATTGAAACTGTGTTGCGTGATAGTGCCATGTGTTATGTTTTTCTGAATTAGAGTGCCATGGTTTTAAAATTTAAACTTAAAATCCACATTAAATTTTAGTATGTATATAATAGGCACTGAATATATGTTCAAAATTATAAAATGGAGCGGTGCATAATTTCCCCACTAAAAACTGATGTGTGTGTTAGAACCAACCTCTGCCATTTCGAGCCATTAAGGTTTAAAGAACATGAAACCGAGAAGAACATGCTGGGCGGTGACTGACTCAGCCAGCCTCTGCCCAGTGCCGGCTCTGCGCTGGGCTGCGGGTGGGAGCGGGGATACCAGAGAACAGGCCGCTGCCCCATTGGTGCGTGAAGTAGGCAGACGTATTGCTCCCATTCAGACCAGAGAAGAGAGAAAAGCAAAGTGGGGAGTGGGAGGGCGAATTCTAGCTGGGGGAGGTGGGGTGAGGGAGAATCTGGAAAGGCTGATTGATGGAGGAGACCACACATGAGCTGAGTCCTTGAATGGCAGGGAGGAGGGGTGCTCGTTAGAGCCAGTAGAGGGGCTGGTAGAAGGACTGTGGGAGGTGCCAGAGGGGTGACTGAGGAGAATCTGAGAGAGCCTGAGAGAAATAAACCACAAATGAACAAAAATCTATTTTATTTATTTTTAATCTTCACCCAAGTATATGTCTTATTGATTTC